ACTATATATAATAAATTCTTTTATATACATATATAGTTATGTGTGTAATAAATTTTTTCATGTTGTTCATGTTGCCGCGCGTTTGAAAAACAGCGTTTCAAAACTATCACACACATACAATTTTGTATAATATTGGCTGCGTTTCTAACTCAACTATATAATAAATTCTTTTATATACATATATAGTTATGTGTGTAATAAATTAAAACTTTTTTTTCATGTTGCCGCGCGTTTGAAAAACAGCGTTTCAAAACTATCACACACATACAATTTTGTATAATATTGGCTGCGTTTCGGACTTATATAACTCAACTTGAAAAGAGAAATAAGCTTTAAAAGCAGTTAACATCAATTTTCAAACAGTAAATGTAGTTGAATAAAACGCCGTGAACACGCACTATTAGTGCATTTTCCGTATAATGAAGCTCATTTGTTGTCGACGAGAACATTTAACGTCTTTCTGTACAGCAACGTAATTGTTCCCCCGAATCTATCCCTGTGCCTGCCATTATTTCCAACCGATAATTATCTGATCCCTTCGATTCGCAGCGGGTGGTATTCTCGAAAAAGAAATATAGCGATAAAAAGCGTCATCGCTGCACAATGGCTTTTATTCTGATTTTTTATCGATTTGAAAAACTAAATCGTATTCGAAGTAAAACTTGATTCCATCGATTCTCAGATCGACTTGATTAATTCAATCAATCGCGGCCAAACATGGTGCGAAGCAAACGAACAAATGTGCGCGATAAGTAATGAAGTTTAAAGACTAATTGCCATGCGCTCTGTAATTTATTGGGCTAAGTACTTTAAAAAAAACTTTTGCTCTAATATTATTATATAAAGAATAATAATGGTGGATATTTGGACAATTATAATACCAAAATATGAAACAGTGTGAGATAATGCGCAACGGAAATTTATTGTACAGAAATTTTGTCAAGAATTATCTCTCTTTTCCCTGAAATCCATGAATTACACATAGAAAATCTGAAAAAAGCATGATTTCAAGATTAATGTCTCGACGATTTAAATGTGAGAGACATTTTCAATTTGCGATTATAATTCCGAATAATTCCGAATATTTTTGGAATAATATTCTATTTGCATATCTTGCATTTTTTTTACAAGGTAAATTTTCATACGTTAGCATACTGTTCTGATTTCAAAAGATCGTGTTTATTCAAATTTTAAAATATTTTGGAAAAATTATGATTCTAGGGGCAACGATTTATAACGGCGTCTCTCATTTTTTCAAATTTTTGATAATATTTATATAAACATGTGAGATTTCAAAGAAACATATTTTGGAAGTTAGAAAAATTGAGCTGTTTTAAATTCCATCAAAATTTAAAAATCTTTATTCTATATTTCTCTATAGATGCTTGCTATGTTAGATGATTCAAGATTAATTGTGAATTTTAAGAGTATATTTTTTTGAAATTTTAATGATAATTTTTGATGTCATTATCGTAAAATAAAGCATTTTTTTATTTTATTAGATTTTATTGTTCTAATTTTGTATTTTTCTTTTGTGCGCACATATGCATACATGCACATACTGTGTAAAGCACATTGTGTGTGTGTCTTTATTTGTGATGTAGATGAGATTTAAAAACCAATAACGCTACGCGTTGTGCGATTTATTTGCCGAGTACTTCACATAAAGCTTGGTTCACTGTATGTATTATGTTATATGTGTGTCTATCTGTGTACAATGTGTTCCATTTTAAATATCCCTGCGAATAGTTTGGAAAATTAAACGATATCAGAAAAAAATTGAGATAAAGTTACAGAGTTTCGAGAAAGGTAATCTGTGGTCAACATAATTTTGTTTTAGATAAGAGCGTTTCTGAGATTTAAAAATTATTTTCACTTTTTAAAAAGAAACTATATGATTTTTCTCACATATATCGATTCTTCTGTATTATATGTAATATATCAAGATAAATAAAATCATTCAAAAATCAATAGCTTGCGAGACTTTTTAAAATTTATTATGATATATTGTAACATAAAATATATAACATATTGTACGATTACATATATACATGCGTGGGCGTGCGCGCACATGCGTATGTCTATGTATGTATATGTATCTTTGTCACATTATTTGGTAGAATCTCCCACACATCAATTGGCACAGCATGATGCACAACGCAGCGCAATGCCAACCGCTTGTAATTCTCATTAGACGTATTCATCGTATCCGCTCCCACAAGACGGCTTATAAGCGGCCGCCCGGTGCAATATTACAACACATAGGAACATGGAATTCTGAGTAGCAGCCATGTTCTCGCTGATGTTAATGAGCAGGAAAAGCGATACGGAACAGTGCCAACAGTTTCAACTTTTTTGACGTTAGTTCATCGATTCAGGTAACTGTGGCTGGAGATGGCAAGTAATCGTATTTACCGTAAAATCTTCTTTTATACCTGAGTTCTTCTTACGATTGTTCTTCAAGTACTGTACATTGGTATATTTATAACTTTAAATATTGTTGCACTACAGGTACACAATATGTGTGCTATTTTACGTAAGTTATTCTAAAAATTTTTATTAATTTTATAATTGCCAGCGAAATACATAAATAAGGCAAAAATATTTTTTTTTGTTTAATATGAAAGTCTTACTGAAAAAATACCATAACCGTTTTGTGCAATTAACAGTAAGTATATTTAATATTTAATTAAAGAGTAAGAGCGAATATATACCAATTAAGGAATATAAATCTTTTAGAGAAATTAAATACATATTATATGTCTTTTAATATAGATATACTTAATTAAAAGTTACATAATGTGAAAATAATGTTGTATATAATACTAACACATTAACAGTATGATAAATTGATATATTTTAGAATTATCAAAGAGTGGTTTTAGATTTTTGTAAAATGAAATTATTATACACTGTAAAGACAAAGATTTATTTATTAATTATACTATTTTTATTCTACATTATATTATTTTGATATAACATTTTTGTTCTTAGGTAAATATATTCCTAGAACGGAATAAGTTATTTTCTCTCCCGACATCTTCATTCCCTCATCTTACTTATTAATGCAAATATTCTCTTTAGTTGTCATTACGTGAATCGTAATGAATACTAAATTTCATTTGTACGTCTATCTATTCCAAATTGTACTAAAGAAAAGAGCCGTAAAAGCTTCAAAAACTAGATATATAGCGTGATATTTAACATGCATAATTTTAAAGAAGAAATTCAATACAAGCAAATTGTTTTCAGATTAATATAATTTTTGAATAATTTCAATATATTAATGATTTTTCAATATAGATGTTTTATGATTAAAATAAAGAAACAGAGAGGGTTTTAGCCCAAGATGGTCAATTTAAATATGCGTTACAAAAATAAACGAGCATAATTTATACAGCAACATAAAATATTTAAATCAGTTTCGTTAATTTTTTTCGCACGTTAAATTCGCATTTGAAATTATTCCCGCTTACATTAGGAAATGATCTATATTTCAGAATTTATTCGAGTCTCTTTCTCTACCATGTGTATATAGAAGAATTTAAGTCTTGAGAAAACTGAGAAATCTGAGGAAACATATGCCGGTTTGATCACCGCAGTGCTGACGCTGTCATTATCCGATGTATTATTCTTCTCGGCCGCTTTCCATAACGGTGAGGGTCGAAATAAGGCCCAGAAACTCTGAAAACAGTTAGAAGAGCGTAAATTAAATTGTTGCGGAACTGATAATGGGCGAGATACGTGCCATCGGCGCAAAATCATATCTTCCCGCGCGAAACCGCACAAGTACTTTCGAAGTGTGTGCGAAATGGCCAAAAAACAACGCGGAGAAAGAGAGATAAGAGTAATGTTAAATTTATCGGCTAACAGAAAGCGGAAGCGGTCAAGGAATAGAGCTATTTGCTTCTATCTCTCTCTCTCTCTTTCTCTTTCTCTCTCTGTAGAAATAGATGCGATTCAGACAGGGCCGCTGGTATCATTTTACGTAAAATTTTATTTAGTGCTTCCCTTTAATAAAAAGGAATAAAAAAACTAATATTTTTAAAGAGCAACCAATTGATATCTGACAGTCAGAGATCAAGAATGCGAGAAAAAGCTATGACTTATGATGTTCAATATTTGTTTGCAGAATATTTTGAGTAATGCATATATACATATAATTTGTCTGTATATATAAAAAATTTCAAAGATATATATATATAGTGGATCTCTCCAATTTAATCAAAAAATTCAATTCCGTAGTGTTTTTTTTTTTTTCCAAATATATGTCACAATTTTTATACAGTTTCAATTTTATCAAAACTCGCAACGTCGGCGACTCTCTTTGTGTACGGTGCTTCCTTTGTACGGCGCACGATTTGCGCATTCCGCTTGCGGCGGCCCTGTATCCGAGGCGATGGAAAGAGCGGCAAGCTCCCGGGGAAACTTTTCGTTTCAAAGTACGATTACCTACGTACCGTAGAAAAACTTGTATTAAGACGTTTCCCGAGTTCTCGAGATTTTACGGCACGGGCCAGGGCAACTTCTAAATCGGCCCGTAACCGCCGCCGGTGCCGCGCTGACAGCGTGACGTAGCTATCGAGAGATTTTCGCTCTAATCGAGAGACAGTGAAAATAACGTGATGTAATAACGCTATAACGGCGCCAACATATATCGCAGTTTTTGCTGCGCGCAGGTGAAATTTTTATTTTATTTTTTTTTTTAAGATATCATACGCAGCCCGTGAATGCATCGTGCGTGTAATGGCAAAAGTTTTCACTCACGTTTGATTAATTGATCGTATAAAGAATGAGACCGACTTGGTCAAAACTATTAAGTGATTTCGTAATTGTTTCCACTTTCTCCATTAGTGAAAATTAATGACCAGATCGCCGCGCGTTTCTCCCTAATACAATAATCTCTCATTCTGAAAGAATGCCAGCCAGCAAGTCATTAAGCAACAAAGAATTCTGGCTTTAAGAAATCTCATTGTCAGCTTGAACTTTTCTCCGAAAAGTTAACGGTTTTTATATACCTATTTCATAAATTTTTCTCAGAAAGGTACATTCTTTGTATTCTTCGACACTCTCTCTACATTTTTTTTTTTTCATTTTGAAGAATATAATGTACCTTTTCATATTTTATTTTTATTTTAGAATGTACAATAGTAGCAATAAACTGTCAAATTTTAAGAAAAGAAACATATTTTTTACATTTATACTGTGACAAATCAAATAAATAAATCTGAATTATAAAAAAAGTGAAAGTATCACAAAATAATATGGTTTTTAACGTGTTTTCGTAAAAGAAAATATTTGTAAAAGATATTTTTCCTAATTTATGACAGAAACTTATGATCGTGAACATTTCCTGAAATCAACTGCAAGAAACAAAAACCGAGTAATTTGCAGAAAGAGAGAGAGAGAGAGAGAGAGAGAGAGAATATTTTTCTACAATTTTTAGTAAATAATGAGTAAGTGGATCTAAATTAAGTATTGCATAAATATTTATGAGAGTTTTCTTGTAATATATGTGAAAATTTTTATTTCATTGGCAATGTCTTTCTCTTGTCAAATTTGTTAATAAATGTTACAATATGCGATTTTCTATAACAATCAATACTCTAATTTTAAACTTAAATAATTTCCAAATCGTTAAGAGAATTGTGCTGAGGTTTTGCACAGATACTCTGAAGAAATAGTAGAACAGTCTACAAAATTTTCATGCTTTTGACTCATACATCCTTAATGATACTGGAATTTTATATGAATCAGAATCATTTACTAAGCTTAAATTTAAAAATTCGTTCAATGTGCAACGATCTAGAAAATGTGTGAATAAATAGCTGAATACTTTTGAATGAGTCTTTGATCAAAATACTTTGATACACTATGTTAATAGTGATAGAATTAGAATTAACTTATTATTAGAACTGATAACCTTTTAAGTATGCAGAAGTAATATAGGCGAAGATAATTAGTGGAATAATGCATGTACATGCCAATATTAAAGTAATTTAAGAAAAACGCTATTTAAATAAAAATAAACTAAGCATTAATGTATAGTTATTTAAAAAAATTACATTATCATTAAAAGCATACAATTATATTCATTAATAACCAGTAAGATAAAATATTTCGCTAATAAGAAAATGTTGATATAGAGTTAAGCTGAAAAATAGTGATATGTTGTAGCAGGTGAGCAAGAAATATTCATCAGGCGAGAAATTCCAAAAATAAAAGCAGCAAAAGCAGATGATAAATTTCCGTACAACAAGTAAGCATGACAGATTTCAACAAAGAAAGACAAATGGGTTTCAACGATATAAATTATATTTAAAAAAATAATCGAAATACTAAAAACCAAGGTGCGGTAATTGGTACGTCATTTGTTATATATACAGAAATTTTACAATAATGTATAAATAATAAACTCATTTTCGATCTTATTTTCTGGTTATCAGAAAAGAAAGTTATGCAGTAAATAAATAACGACAGACATATATATATGCGCAAAGAAAATATATGTAAAAAAAAGAGTCAACATGAATATCTACATATCGATAGATAAGAAGTTAATTAGTCTCATGCTCCTTTCGGGGACACAATTTCAACAATTTTCGAGATAATAGGCATTGGAAAAACGTGTTATTTTAGTTAAGAGAAAGTGAAGGACGAATAAAACATGCAGCTCGTAAAGCATCGATAGAATGGAATACAAAAAGCAAGTCGAACAGGGTCATCTGTTTTTGAAACTAATCTGCTTTAATTGTAAAGACCATTATATCTAAGATCCTCGGAAATAAATCACGCATTTCTAAGCTAACGGAAATCTTAAATCTTTTATGCGTAAATAACCGTCTTACCTCGGTTTTCCAGGATTGCACAAGGAAGAAGACTGGCAATGGCATCAACGTTGCCAATCCGATCCCAATTCCAATTACGCTCGTCCAGCCGGGAAATTCATACGAGCCATAACTTCCCCGGAAGTCGGTTTGATGTAGCTGATATCCAAAGACCCCCTGTGGATAAAAAGCGAAGTGCGGTTGGTTAGTCGATCTCGTTTCTCATATGTAAAGCTTCGAAAAATAGCGCGTGTGCGTGACACAATTATCAATTAAGGGAGAGAGATTTCGAATTTTTAATCAAAACTAACTTTCGCAGGTCAGCAGTTCGGCGCCCGTCGAGGGAAATATTTTCAATCCCCGCGATGGCGTCGGCAAAATTCAGCCGTTATAAATAAAAATTCGCTCGGCACGCGAGCAGGGGATGCGGTGGCAAGGGCGTGTCTCGCGACAGGTAGCCAGATTAATTAAGCAGTCTGGTCATGGGAAATACGACGCTTTGCCTCCTAGGGACGCGAACAACAAAGCTAAACCCGAATGGCGAGTTTTGCGAGCCTGAAGTTTTAATAATCTATTTAGAAAGTTCAGATAGAATCAGATAAAAAGAATCGATATAATTGTATCCTGTTTTTTTTAAATTCATATAAATATCAGATTATTTATATCTTATCTCTAATATATTCGATAAATTCTCTATTTCTTTTTTATTCCGCATTAATACAGGTTCAATTTATATAGTTTTTTATTTAAATCTGAGATTGTATTTTCAAATAAATAAGATACATAAGACACGATTTTATCAGAAATAAAGCTTTATGTGACAGTTTTTATTCAGAGAATAATTTTTCCAACAAATTGTTAAACTATTTTTAATTTATAAAACATTCTATACAAAATTTGTGTGAATAATTTTAAGAATGTTTCTCTCTTTCTTTCTTTCATTCTTTTTTTCTCTAAAGCATATATATTATTTTACGGAGTTTTTTCAGCAATCAATGGCCTAAGCTTAAATTTCATTACTTTCCATATAAACTCGATTAATCGTCTCTATGCGATGGTCGAAACTAATTTACGGTATATTCCCTCGCTGTGTCGCCGAACTTTCTTGCAAAGTTTACAGTTAATAAACGTGGGCGCCTTACTTCGATGGGATTAAGCATCGTAATGCCGCATCTTCCCCTTGTTACTACCGTCGATTGTACCGTTTAGCAATTATATACATTGGAGCTGTCATTAAAGTTTTGATTGTCGCACAGTTTAGTCGCGAACATGTAAAGGAGAAACTTATATTTCAATAACAATGGCAAATTGAAACGACATAAAATGACAATTAATATATATATATATATATAATATAGTATCTCCCTTTCTACAACGAGCGCGTGTTTGTCTATCGCCACGCTCAGTCCATTCTATATGTATGTCTATGGTGTGTATCAATAAATATATATATATATATATATATATATATATATATATATATATATAATATATTTATACATATAATATATGGAATAAATAATATAAATTAAATCATTAATAATCATATATTCAATCAATATTATTTAAATTATAAATCATATATTCAAATTGTAGTAAAGATTCTTTCAACTATGTTCAATTACAATTACTTGGCATATTTTTACTGAATTTTACAAAAATCATGAGTTAAGTATTTTCTGGAATTTCAAGTATATTTCTATGGTTATAATAATTGTTGTAAATTCGAGTTGCAATTGATTAATGTTTCACAAACTAATTTCAAGATATAGCTAATTTAGCATTATCATATTTGGTAACAATAAAAACCTCAAAAATTATGACACTAAGATAACAAGATCTCACTATCCGGTTGCATCGGAACGCTTTGTATATTTAACTTTGGCTGTAGCTATATGCATATTGCGAGTAATGAAAGGATTAAACCAGGACCAAAGTGTAATGTAGTAAGAAAATAGGCACTTACTAGGCAAGTGAGAGGTGCGAGGACTACCCAGCATAACCACCAATAGCCGTGGATAAAGTGATTAAATCTCATTTTCATTTCAGCGAGGTTACTCAGGAATTTGTTGCATCCGTAGAACCAGGAGGGTACAACGATTTCGGCGAAGCCGATCAATAGGATCGCCCACGAAGCGGTATGCCAGTCCATCAGTTTGAACAAGTAGATACCGCCGTCGAACACCATCGGAATCGCTAGAAGCCAGCAGGCAACGCATATTCCCAATATCACAAGACTTTCATATTTTCGCAAATCTGGACGCCTGTCCAGTATGGCAGTGTTTATCGCTTGTACGCCTGCAAACTGTATCATAAAAAGTGAATGACTGAAAGGATCGCTTTTTCTTCCTTCTTCGTTTCTTCCCGCGCTTCTTCGTTCTCTTCTTTTTCTCTCATAAATAAATTATAAATAAATTTTAACAATAAATTATTAATTTTACATTAAAAGATTATTCATTTATTTAATAAAATTTTATTTTTTTTTATATGTTAAATGTGTATAAGAATTTGGAGAAAAACATTGTTAATTATTATTCTATTAAATTTTGAATTTTATTTAAATAATCTTTTTATTAATATACAGGGTGTCCGGTAATTTTTGGCACACCCGAAGTGTGAAGGTAGATTGGGTCAAACTAAAAAGAAAAGTCCTGTACCATTTTTTTTTTATAACGCTTAATAAAGGAGTTATTATTGAGTAAAGTCT